CACGCAAAAGCCAGGCATCTTCGTGTATGCCATAGTCTGGCAGATCCTCAAGTGCTTGGTCTCTATATGTTTCGATTAAATAGAGACCGTTTGATAAATGCTCGGCGCAATAGGATCTTGCCAGCTTGGGCTGGTATGTACCGAGCGCTAATAAAACTATGTCCTTCTCCGTCATTCTAGGGAAGTTTTCAATATTGTTGGCTTCGATCCTCTGAAAATCCACTCTTCTTTGATTGAGCCGCTTTCTGTCTACATACGTGTGCAAAAGATTTGGGGCATCCACGTTCTGCCTATTTCTTTCAATAAAGTTATCCACGATGGGTTGGCGAAAGTTTATGAAAGCACAGGTAACTGAGAACAGCAGCGAAACGTCGTCACGAGCAATAAATGAACGAGCGACTGCTGGGAGTAGCGCTCGCGCACCCGCATGCCAACGAGTAACTTGACGGGGATGCCCCCCAGCGCACCCCGCGCCCCACTCCATCGCTCTTCCTTGGGCCCAGATGAGTTAAAGGGAGTGGAGCTTGGCGTTAGCTATCGTAAACCTGTTTTAAAAATAAAAGCATGAACAGAAATGTAGAAAATATTACACCTGCATTCATTTTCCACAGAGATAAGTAGTAATATTGATGTGTGTATATCTCCGAACGCAACCAGATCTGAGACTGGTGCCCATAGTAAAAGTTTTTCGTCTTGATGAGACCTTTCAAACGACACTACAAGCTTAACTATTGGAACCCGGTACTTACCCGGTACCATTCTGCCCATCCTCCTTTGGTATATAGATAGTTTGATTCCCGGGGAAGGACAAAGGATAGTTTTTATTCAAGAAATCATCCTCTAATGGGGAAATCCAAATCTAATCCCTTTTCACCGGCGGAAGTTTGTATGGGAAAACAAAATTTTTTCACGCAGAAGAAGTCCCGAGCACCCATTAGTGATCAAATAATCGAATCTTTGTTGGAAACCGCACAGATCCCCAGATATCGATTATCAAAGCAATCGGTCAAATAACTAAAAAGTTTAAAATGGCGGTTATTTTTTTTTCCAAATCAGAAGCTTGTTATAGGTATTGCGCATCGTCATTCTAAAAACGTCCACCCCGTGATAGGCATGCACCAGCGTATTGTCGAATGCACTCGCAGCGAGTATTAGCTGTGTGTCACTGAAGCTCGCTTGTGCGGAATGACTATTAGCTGCGAGTATCCCTGTCACACACAACGAATAGTCGCGGCGTGTATTCGCCGTGTGTGACTGAAGCTTAAGAGTCTCGCTACATGCTTACGCATTCTAAGGGTCATAATTGAATGTACATTTTGCTGGCTTCGTGTATATTTACCTAGTGCAGTGAAAAGTTATATAGACCTTTGAAGCAATAATAAGTGAAGTCTTACGCTGTGAGAAAGATGAATAATAGAAAAATCGAATAGTCATGTTGAGAACGAGAATCGATTTAGTATTTTAAAATTAAAAAACATGAATTTAACTGATAAATAACAAAAAACACTTACATATGAAAGGTACTTTTTTTTTGGAATTTGATGTTTTTGAACGCTTTTTGCACGATGTTACAGAAAATCCATTCATTTTTGCAGAGCCGTTGTTGTATCGAATTGTGTCTGGACTGGAATAAAACCGATGGCTCCATACCCACTGTGCAAGGCGATCACTGCAATCCTATTTTATTTAACACCCCATTCCATATTGTAAATTGATAATGAACACGAAAAATGTGAAATAGCGCAAAATCGAAAGAAGTTTTTAAAATAATGTACGTATTCCATATGAAAAAAATAAAAATTAACGAAATGGAAAATTATAAAGTAAGTTAGAAATGGAGTTGATGTAAGGATTATTAATTATTATTGTACGTTTGTATGTACTACTAACTACTTAATCTGTACGTACCTACCACTATAAATACTTTAACTACTTTGTACTTATGTATATTTATTTTGTGGTAGTCCCATATGTAGGCACGTCTGGATAGGTACCACCGCCAACCTTTTATTTCTGCCGTAAAGCAGTTCGCTGTTTCGGTTTTTTTTTTAATTTGAAGTGAAGGTAGCCAGTGTAATAACTATTCATGGAGGCATTTCGTTAAAGGCCTCAGAATGGCAGCACCTGTCAAAGCAAGTGATTTCTTCATTATACACGATTATGGAAAGATTGCTGTTGCAGGTGTGTCGACATTAGTAACTTAACACCACGTGGACTGTATGCTTTTTTGCCATTTAATAGTATAAAAAATGTACTACTCAGTACTAGATAACTTCTTTACTGAAAATGAATAAGAATCGGCAAGTTTATTTGTTTTTAACTTATATTTATTTAAATTTATGTTCTTTTTGAACTTCCCAATTTATGAATTTCAATCTGTGCATAAGTAATTATCGATATATCGAAAGTGTATTTTAGTTGCCCTTCCTTATATTTACATGGTGTGGGTAAGATACGTCTCTACACAACGTTTACCTCAATTACACAGATAAATGAGTGCGTATTACAGATGTGGTATGCATTTTTTATTTGTGCGTTTATAAAAAAAAATGTTTTAGCTCGTTTGTGTACTTATTTGAATGTAGTATAGTAGTTTCCTCGTTTCTCGCCAGAATTACCAGAAAGTTTTGTATGGAATGAAGTGCTCAGGGCTACTCCCGTTCAATGGATACTTAAAGCATATCGCACACTATGCCGGGGCGCAGCGGGCCGCATATTCTGCCGCGGATTTTGGTTGCGTGCGATGCGGCCCGCGCCCGCTGCATCCCGACACAGTGTGCTATAGCTAGTACCTGCTCATGTATTCCCTCCCTTCTACAAACCAGGACCCTATAAAAGAGGTGTAAAGAAGCATTTTCAAGCCGGTGAGGATGGCCTGTGTGGCAGTTATAACACCTGCACCAGCTAGCCTCTCTCCAGCGATTGCTCCAACATCATTTAACATCAGTTGGAGTGGAAACATTTGACGATCATTTTTGAAGTTATACTTCTTTAGCCGCGTTATGAAAAAATTATGAGAGTGAAATTTTAAGATGCGCGCGCATCACTGTAACACAAAAGTAACATAATGAAGTTAGCCGCGGGCGCGTTATGAAAAAATCATGTGAGTGAAATTTCGAGATGCGCGCGCATCACTGTAACACAAAAGTAACACCATGAAGTTGGCCGCGGGCGCGTTATGAATGTTAGTGTCTAATTATAACCACTTAGTGGTTAATAATCCACCATTATTAGACATCTGTTCTAAAGGTACTTTGAACGATCCACGGAGCTCCATAAGATGATCGCGTTGTCAAAAACAATGTTGGCACGCTCGTCGCCTCTGATCACTGTTTTCATATTTATAATATTTATCCACATGTTTCTAGTTTCTATATAGACACAACGTGTTTTAGTTACTTACAAGTGCTAATTACATATGGACTAATAATTTAAATTCAGTAGTGATTTAAATTGAATATTTTGATTATTTATTAAATTTTTCAAATATCTTATTGTAATTAATTATCTGCATGCAATTAAAAACTATTTTTTAATAATTCCAAAAAGAAGTATAACTCTCACGCGCGTACTTAAGTACACGCACCCATATTTTTTATACAAATAAATAGATATTTCACAGAATTTTATCAATAAAGCTGACTGGATACTTACTTTGCATGCCAAACACTCCAAGAAACTTAAGAACGCATCATAATTTCATAATAACTGTATAATAAAATAATAATTTAAGACATAAACTCATAAAATGAAACAGAGTATACAATAGGCGGCCTTATTGTTAAACAGGAATCTCTTCCAGGCTACTTATGGTGGAAAAGGAAATATTAATAGAGAAATATAGAAGGGTGCAAAAGTAGATACAGGAGATATACTTACATTAAATATAAGAGAAGCAAAGAAATAGGATGTAAAATTAATTAAAGATAAAGAAAGTAAATAGCTTTTAACTTGATCGCTAAAGGAATTAAGTGAGCCTTTCTAATACCCTCAGGAAGTGAATTGCACGGTCAAGCAGCGTGCACAGAAAGGGAGTAAAAAAAGAGGTCAGAAGAGTGACAGGGAATCTGAAGAAATAGGTTAGAAGAGGATCTCAGCGAGAGCTATGAAAAAGAGAATAGATATGAGAAACGCTGCTTAAGATACGGTGGAGCAGATGGTAGGAAAAGTATAGAATAGAGTACTGTTAGAGAGTGTAGATCGCGCCGCCCGGTGAATAGAAAAAAACGAGATTAGGCTGCATAGACTTTATATCGTTTGCCTTTTTTATAATGGGAGAACATAACAAAAAATATTACGTCAAGTTGATACCTGTCGTGTTAACGTTGACATGAACTTTTTGGCGGGAACGGGAAGCGTCACTTTAGCAGTTTTGTTTTTCTTGTTAAAAATTGTGTTGTGGCGGATGTTATTGTCTAATAATGGTGGATTATTAACCACTAAGTATTCGGGAACATGCACAAGTGTTGGCAAGTGAAACAAAATAGCGGAATGTGTCTTTCGACGTTCCCTCAAGAAGTTCACGGGGTTCCAGTAAATCCCCACACTTTTACTGAAACATAGGAAAAGGGGAATTGACTTGACTGCCACTTACTTTGACGTGATTTATTACTTTGACCACGAGTGCTATAGCATTTGTAAACATTTTAACACTTGACATTGGCTAAATACACAAACCGTGCGAAGCCAATTAGAAAAAAAAATTCAAGTACAGAGAAATTTACTGCTTCAAGACCTTCGAAGTACCTTTGGCGTAGAAACCATCCCGCGCGACTTGAGAAAACTTTTACAAAATAAAGACACCTATATTCCTTTATACAATCAAAACACTTTAAGAAAAACAGACAGGGCTGTATGGACTCAGAATCCTTTGTCCCCCCAACAGGGACAAATTGACCAAAAAAAACGTTGACATGACACTGACATTTTTTATTAAGATGCACGTAAACCAAATCAGAGATTTTTTTCTGAATATATACAATTAATTAAAATACTCGAAAATGTCTACACCTCCTCGTGAAACAATACAGAAGCAAATACAGCAAGATTGGGCTAACCGAGAATATATAGAAGTCATCACTGGAAGCATTAAAAAAATCACTGATTTCCTCAATTCTTTTGGTGAGTAATAGATTGTAAATTTGCAACAGTTTGGTTTGATAAACAAATATAATTGTTTTCAGTTTCTTTTAGATTTCCTAAGCCGTAAACTAAGTTTTCAACATTGCGCTCAACATCAATGGTACTTAAATTGCTATTCCTATACATAGTGTTTATTAGGAAGTTTTGACTGCATAACTTGATAGAAAGATTGACGATAATAAGTTAACTTCTCTTAGAACGCCACCTTTGGCTTTTGCCTGGCAACAATAAAACGGGCTCACTTCACCGGCCTCATCTAAACATTTTGTTAATAAACTGTATTTTTCCAGACATGTCCTGTAGATCTCGTCTCGCCACACTCAATGAGAAATTAACATCATTAGAGAGGAAAATTGATTACTTGGAAGCTTGTGTAAGTTTATTTTCATATAAATAATAATGGGGTTATAGCTATTAATGTTACCATGTACCATGTCTTTAGTGAGTCTCCAATATTTCGGCATTGTTGTAAACTCCATGATCACAGAGTAAATGAATTAATTGTGGGTAGATGATGAATTAATGGTGGGTAGATGATGAATTAATTGATAGATTGGCAGACATATTGATCTACCCTCTGACGTCGCCTTTTATTCTGCTTGATACCCCTACCACATATTCACTTCACACTCAGATTCACTCTATTCACTTGCACCTGTTCCTGCCACATAATACTCTTAGTATCAGATCTCAGATAATGGGCCATAAATGATAAAAATATAATCATGTACATCACACGACTTAAATTTGTGTATTTTATGTTATTCCTCATACATTATAGCACGATATTCTAAAACTTATTAAATGAAACTGCTTAAAATAATTCAACTCTCCTGCCCTTTCTTCTTTTTATTTATTCTTAACACCAAATATATTTTCAGTCATAAATTAATATCAAATGATGCTTAATCAATTTGTTCAATATTTAAGTTATTCCTTATTATTTTCAGGTAACAAAGGGAGAAACATTAACATGAATATCCAACAACATGTAAAAAGTGTTTAGTTGTAAGTCTTATAAGAACTATTTACCATGTTTCAATCAAGTAATGAAACTTAATAAGAATTAGTAGTTCTTTCTGTACACATAAGTTTAATTAAATTACCTTTATATAGGTATGTTAGTTTAACTTATTATTTTATTAACTTTAACTAGGCACTAGATAAAATGTTTAAAAGATTGAATTGAAATTGAAGTTGCATTGAATTACAACAAAAACAATTTGAGTTTAGATAATTATGACCAAATGTAATTTCATTGGAATCTTGTAATATCCTTGAGCTTGTTTTGATGACTTTTGCTTAAAGATAGTGGTAATTTATGTGTGTACCATTTCTAATTTAATTTGCAAACTCCACAAAGGAGTAGTCTGCAGAGAATGAGAGCTGAGAAGAGCTCTCATTCTCTGAAACAATTATTATTTTCAGATTAATATTATTTATTAAAATTCAACAAGTCATAGTCACAACTTAGATATTAGATTTACAAAAAGGTTTCACTTATTGTTTAGACGAGTATCTGCAATCAACAACTTTTTTCAAATTTTCTTATTGTGTACTAGCTGTGCCCTGCAGTTTATCATGGATATTTTCCTGCAGTAAAACGTAGCCTTTGTGTTAATCCAGGGTGTCAGCTCACTCCATACCAAATTTTATTAAAACCTCTCCAGCCGTTTAGATGTGAAGAAGTAACAAACATACATACTCACACACTCACAAACTTCGCCTTTATAATATTATAGTGATTGTCTTTTAAGTAAAGTGTTTGTATTACTAACTAGTGTGCCACAAAGGAACATACTTACATAATATATAGACCGTTAAACACAATACCCTGTCTGCGAGTTGCACTTTACTCTGCTTGCATGTGCAGTTAGGTAAAAATACTTCTCCATAATAATCTAGGATGTATATTATCATGATAAAACTTTTTATATGATAAATAATGTTTATTGCCAATTAAGTAAGAAATATAGTATTAGAAATAATAGAGGATTTTATTTATGTAATTTTTTTTGGATAATTGTATTCCCAATAATTCACACTTCACAATATTGCATATGGCAAGTTTCGAATTCTGATTTAACATTCACAAAATTCCTAATATACGAAAACAAATCTTCATCCTTTTTTAATTCATATGGTTTGGGGACTTATAGAGAATTCAGGGTTATACTGATTCAACGAGTACAGCTAAGCCCTGGCCACCTCCACAGCACGATGCAACTATACCCCGTCCCAAGTTGCGACGACTGAAACAAATAAAAGCATAAATTGTAAATAAATGAAAAGTTATTTGGCATAATATTTTTCCATAACTCTGCTATAGTTATAGCTTAACTCATTGAAATAAAATGTGTGATTGAACCTTACATCTAAATTTTCAACAACTGCCTTCAAAACTGGAGTCAATTATAGTAATACCTAGTCAGGTCATAAATTTTGTCACATGTTTAATATAAAATAATTGAAACAAGTATTCATTATGTAAACATTTATGTACCAAAATGAACTTAACAAAACATAGATTCTTATGACAATAAAGTTTATTCATAATGACCTCCGTGATTTTGAATACAGGCCTTCAGTGCGCGGCCAGTCGTCTATCGCAGCACGAACGAGGTCCATGTCAATATCGGCGGCTGCCTTAATCAAGGATGTCTTGAGTGACTCCAAATTGGGATGAGGCTTTGAGCACGCCTTTTCCTCCAAGTGTTGCCATATCTTGTAATCTAACGGACTCAAATCTGGACTTGAGGAGGGCCAGTCTTCGTGCCGGATGAAGTCGATTTCACGCGCCGCCAGCCAGTCTAGTGTGCTCTTCGCTCTATGAGCTGGCGCCGAATCTTGTTGGAATACCCAGTGCCTGTTATTGAAACAGTATGAGAAACAGGTTCCACAAGTTTCGTCAGGACTGTATTTTGATACACAACTGCATTCGTTTTTACACCTTTCTCACAAAAATGTACCTCTGTTAAGCCCCAATAAGAAACTCCCAACCATACCATGAGCGAGGATGAAAAATGACCTCGTTGGACACGCGGAATACGGTTGCTCGCTTCTTCACTACTGTGTGCGTACACCTTATCATTTTGTTTGTTGTAGCTCTCTTCTACGGTAAAAATTTTTTCATCCGAAAAAAGAATTTCCCGAATTTTTTTTCCCCCGTACCGCTTCAACAAAGCGCGGCATCTCTTCAGTCTCAGGTCCATTAGACGAGCATTCAAACGATGTCCTGTTTTTCTTCGATATGCCCGAAGCCCTAAGTCTTCATTTAACACCCTTTTCACCGTAGTTCTGCTTAAAACATCTGAAGGGCCAACAGTTTCTGCTTACGTTTGGGATTTCTTTGAATTCTCGCCTTCACAGCTTTTATCACTGCTGGAGTCCTAACAGACCGAGGGCGACCACTTCTTGACCTGTCATCTACACTAGAATCTTCATTGTATCGTTTGATTGTAGGTAAAAGGAATCTTTTGGTTATATACAAATTTTTCAGTATGTCAATAATTTGAATTGGCGCGTAACCGCAATGATGCAACGCAATAACTGCAACACGGTCTTCTTTTCTTCTTTATGCGTCCACTCCATATTTAAAAATGAGTAAAATTCTAAAAAGTATACATTTTTATTTTCATGAACAATTCGAAATTCGAATTCAATAAACTTTTTATTCTAAAAGAAAAGTTTTTACTGTGTGACAATACTTATGACCTGACTGTGTATAAGTTATTTACGGGATTGTTACCATGTACCTTGTTTTTAGCGAGTTTCCGATATTTCGGCACTGTTGCAAGCGCCATGATCACGGAATAACTGAAGTAATTGCGGGTAGGCTGTTATTATTATATAACTAGTGGCCCGCCCTCGCTTCACTTCGGTGTAGAGCTGTAGTGTAAACTATAGTTTTTGTTCTCAGGCTTGTGTTATAAACAATGACTTCATTTATATAATTACACGGTGAGTCAACCATAAAAGATAAACATATGCTGTTGCAGGATATTTTTTAGACAATTTTATGTAGAATATTTCGGTCATACATGATTTCTATGTAACTTTAACCATTAAGGCTGCACACGCGACTGAAGCTTAAAAAATGGAGTAACTTCTCCCGTTTTCCCAACATTTTCCTTCACTACTCTGCTCCTATTGATTGTAGCGTGATGAAAAGTATACTATAACCTACCCAGGAGTATGAAGAATAATTGTACCAAGTTTCGTTAAAATCCGTCGAGTAGTTTTTGTTTCTATAAGGAACATACACACAGACAGACAGACAGACAAAAATCTTACTGATTGCATTTTTGGCATCAGTATCGATCACTAATCACCCCCTGATAGTTATTTTAAAAATATATTTCATGTACAGAATTGACATCTCTACAGATTTATTATAAGTATAGATTACTTCAGTTACTCCGTGATCATGGCGCTTGCAACAGTGCCGAAATATCGGAAACTCGCTAAAAACAAGGTACATAGTAACAATCCCGTAAATAACTTATATTACTATAATGTTAGTGACCATGAAAGTTTAAACCAATATATGGAGTCAATTACTCTCAGCATCAGATGGGGTGAGGTGATTTGTTGTCTTCCATAAAAAAAGCTTGAGCTCAACATATTAGCCGTTCGTCCGAGACATTCCACTAGACATAGACTTGATTTTTTAAAGTAAAATTTTAGGATCCGCTTCATATTGACACTTTTACATTCGGATTAGATTGTAATGAAATTATACTTTGTATAGTTAGCTAACAATTCAATATATAAAGAAGCGTAGAGCAGACTCATCTCCGCTGGCAGCACCTGTTCACTAGCATGATGCATGAAGCCATCGCTTTGCTCAACCATAGGTATTTTAGGGAACGTAGCGATCCGCCTCATGCGACGTGACCATACTAAGTCATAGATTAACCGTAATTGGTGCACAAGATGGACCATCATCCGGGCGCCGGTTGCCCCCACTGGGTTGCCCATGGAGACGATCCGCCTCACGCGACGATTGATAAGTATGTATACTAAGTCATAGATTAACCGTAATTGGTGCACAAGATGGACCATCATCCGGGCGCCGGTTGCCCCCACTGGGTTGCCCATGGAGACGATCCGCCTCACGCGACGATTAATAAGTATGTATACTAAGTCATAGATTAACCGTAATTGGTGCACAAGATGGACCATCATCCGGGCGCCGGTTGCCCCCACTGGGTTGCCCATGGAGACGGCACCGCCGCTCACATTGACTCTCTCGCTGTCGACTTTCAGATCCTTTACCGTCACCACTGCCTGTGCTGCGAATGTCTCATTTATCTGTCGACCAGATAAAAAATAATTAGTCCCAAATAAGTCTTTTAAAGCTTTTGTTATGGGGTACAAGGATAAGGGATAGAAATACATATGTTCCATAGGTATGTATTTCTAGAAATATATTATATTAGCAGGTATGATTAGGAACAAATGGTCATATCGTCGCTTATACAACAATACCGCGTAAGTAAAATTTGACAAGTTTTCAGGAGAGACAAAAATCTGTTTATTATTTATTAAACACTTCGTTTATGTTTTATGAATTTACAAATAGGTTTGAGTTGGCTTTAATTTTGATATGAAGAGTTAATATTAGTCTATTTAGTTTTGTGAAACTATATATTTGACTTATGCGGTTTTAGATAGACAAAATAAAGACTTCTGCGGTGTTAATCTTTTTATTTATCATAATAATTAAGTAAAAAAGAATAATTTATCCAATGCTTAAGCGCCTTATTAAATACTAGTAGGAACTATATAAAATCACTTGACAATGCACTTAATTGTATTTTGCTCTCTTAGGTACTTTAACATTTAAAAAATCAGTATTTATGTGAAAATTATTAAGATATTATATAACATTCTTAGGTAAATTGTTTTGGTAAAATTAAGCTTCTATACAATTAAGAAGTCCCAATAAAATATAAAAGAAAAAACGAAAATAAAGCGATACTAAACAGTTATAACAAAATCATTTTTTTTCATAGAAAAAATTTCTTATAGTAATAGTTTAACAAGTTACGTAATATTGAGAAATTAACAATTCTTAATTCTGTTTCTAATCATCACATTAATCATAGTCTTATCCTCGCGAGCATGCATCAATTAGATCACAGTTGAAAATTAAACTTTGAATGGTATATTATCGTAAAATGAATGGCAGTTAGATGGCAGCACCGCCTTTAAATCTTGTAGGTCCTTATATTTTCGTTGGGAAATAGGTAGTCTCATAGTATATAGTTTAGGAAATGCATCGAAACCTACGATTTTGCTTAATTTTGTTGGACGTTGAGGCAGTGGTTGCAAATGATCATTAAAATTTAATTTATACCAAATAGTACCATCTGGGTTGTGAACTAAAACTCTTAAGTCAGTTACAGTTGGATCATAGGATTTTTTTCCAGGCCGAATGCTTTTATAAATTAAGTCTTTACTAAAATCTGTAAAAAAGCTATAATCTACAGTGCGACATTCGTATGGCATTGGGGCAGTTCTAGCTTTCATTGCTATATCAGCATACTGTGAAGGTAAATAGATTTCTCTTCCTTTTAATCTACATTCAATAGCACTGTGCACAGAATCGCATTCCATCTGAGTATGCCCTTTTTCGAGATATTTTTGTGTTATTGTAACTTGCTTTTCAATAGCCAAATGTAAAAGGGCATTACTCAAAACCGAATTTCGATTCTGTGCACAGCAACCGTCGGAAAATAAAATTACAGGTAGCAATTCTTTATCTAAAGTACGACGCAGTTGATCTACAATACAAGATGCAAAAACAGAAGCTTCAAGTGAAGCATTTGATTCGTCAAACCAGTAACATACAGCCTCGGAATTGGATAAATTATACATTGTAAAATTATGCACGCAGAGTTTGGTCTTATAGTATATCGCACTTGCCTGAAGGTTAGGAGCCAACTTAACTGATTGAACATCCTGTGTGAATACGTGGCATTGTCTCTCTTTAGCAAGTTTTTTATCTTTTTCTTTTTCCGTTCTACCCTGTTCCTTTCTTTCTATATGCGGTGCTATTTCTGCATCAGTTATGTTGCCTGCTTCATGACCACAGCAAACATCACACCTATCTTTTTTTGGGCGATATAGGCTCAAATTAAGCTTTAAAAATATATTGTCAAAAGCCCTGCGAGAGAGACATTCTGCAGATTCGTAATCACATTTATTACTGTACTCTCTGTAAAGCTGAGACATGTTTTGGAATAATGGCTCCAAGTACTCTCTTGATGTATTTGATCGACAGTAATGAGAAGGCATTTTTGGGAGACTATTTAGAAATGTTTCAACATATTCATGAGCACCATGCTTTTTTTTTGAACGGCTGGTATTTCGCGAGTGATCAGAATGTGGTGGCATGGCGCTGTTTGTTTTATCGAGCCAATATCGCACAAACCAGTCCTTAATTCCTAATGTATTTAGGAACATCTTTTTGCATACTTGGTGGCGTATGTTTTCTATAGTTAGGAAATAAGCAAGAGATTTAGTTCTGGTAGTCTCAGGATTTTTAGTAACTTTTTTGACATGCGCTGTAACATGACAGCATACATAAATTTTTCTTTGTTCCCATGACATAGTTTTCCAAAACACTTGAAATAACTCTTTTCTTTTTTCTTCATCTATGTTACCACAATTTCTTAGTTTTGATTTCATGCAAAATGCTGAAGTACATGCAGGATTTATACTTCTTGCTGGCCTTAAGACATCATGGTAGACTTTTTTTTTCATACTAGTATCCGTTTCTCGTCTATATCCCAAATAAGCTTCTCCTTTCATTCTTAAATCCTTATTTAATTGTTTTTTCCATTTACCCGGCTCTTTATTAGCTTTATTTTTCCTTTTTCTCTTGCTTGATAAGTCTCCGTGATACATATTATTATTATCAATGTTTTCTGTATTTGGGTTTATGGATGTTGCAATTTCACTATGTTGAGGACTTAAAACTTCACTAACAGCGAGAGCTTCTCCACGTTGAGGCCTTAATATCTCACCAACAGCAAGTGATTTTTCGGGTTGGGATCTCGATATGTCACCAACTGCAAGAACTTCTTCCAGTTGGGGGTTGAATGTTATACCATTGGCGAGAACTTCTTCCGATTGGGGGCTTATTACCTCACCAACAGTGTCAACCATTATATTTGATACCATAGGAATATTATTTGCTGTCATTGTAAAATCAATTTGAGGGTTTGAGTTTTCTGTAACTGCGGTGTTTTCTGTCAATAATATTTTGCTCATTGAGGAAATATCAGGTAGAAATTCATCGGTTGGAATATCCATAACTGAATTATTTGCTATACAATTGAATGAAGAACTATCTACTATTTTTATAAATTGGAAGTTGTCAATGTTTATTACGTTTGTGTTATTTTCTTTCTCTGCTATGTTGTGAATTTCTTCATTGTCTTGAAACATATTCTTGCTATTGAATGTAATTGTATTAGCTTGTGCAATCATTTCATCATCTAAGCTTGTAGGTGCCAAATCGATTATATTAACTGATTGCTGCAAGTTATTCGTAATAGTTTGAATAGTTGATTCAGGTATAGGGTTAAATATTTTTGGATTATTGCTTATCTCTACTAGCTTTTCGGTGTGTTTTCTTTTTAATATGATTCTTTTTTGTGCCAACAACTCCTCCCGTCTATTTTTTAAATCAAGTAAAGTTATGACTTTTACCTGAGTCTCAACTTGTTCCTCTTCATTCATGCTGCAACTGGCATAATCGAGGTCCTCCTCCATTTTTAAAGACTGAAAATGTAAATACTATTTACTTTTGAATGTAAATAAATACCCACAATAAATTTAATATACAAATTAAGATTATATTCTTGTAAAGAAACCTTTAATTATTAAATAAAGTGACCTATTTCAACAAAAACTAAATAACTAAAAACTGTTTAATACCGCTGAAGTTCCTAAAACCAGTAATGAAACACAGCGTAAATCTTAAAATATATATATATAATAATACCGCCCAAGTCAATTAACATCACAATAAATACCGCCGATGTATAACGTATATTTCAACTTCAAAGAAACAGTCTCATTCTAAACTTAGTACCACTAATAATAAACAATTGTGTTTGCTTACCTTTTTTGTGCATCCGAACAACTAGCCTTATTGATAAATCCGCGAAAATCAAACAAAAAACAAAATATTTGCAGAGCGGTCTCACGTTAACACAATTTTCTATGGCGCACTGACGACTTGTGCGGTTATAACACTGTCAACGATTTGCGCGGTGCCAGTACAACTCAATAAAGTGCTGTGATTGGCTAATTTCGAAATTTTTCATTTAACCATTGGATGCGCGGCTAAAAGATCTATCCAATGAATTATAAAACGTCACATGGCCATTTTTCGACTTGCGCGGTATTGTTGTTTAAGCGACGATATTCAATTTTCAAGCACACTGGGTTCGAATCCCGGTGGGGCAAATGTGCGAGCGTTACCTTAAAACCCTGTGTACATGCTATGCCAGTCACACCATCGATGGGAGTCGAAAATAATGAATACACTTAGGACATTTGAACTTCATCATCAATGTCGATCATCCTACATACTCTAGGATCAAGCGGACAACAGAAGCTGATGGGCGATGATGTTGTACATATTGCTTTAACACTAGTAATCCAAAGACAATGTAAAGGACATTGGGCAAAAATGTCTGAACGCTGCACCCACGTCCGCCACGACTTGAATTACATTTATTTAAAAGCTATTATAGCCTTGAGTATCTATGCCACAGTGCAACGAATTCCATCCAGGGGGTCTTAAGTTTTTTTAAGCAACGAGTAGTTCTTATTCTCAGTATGGGAATATGCTGGAGTGTCCATCTCCCCGAACGTGCTCACCGTATTAGCTATTAGCTAACTTCAAACGGTTATTTGCCCGGAGCAAAAATAATAAATCAATCGCAACGAAGTAAGACGAAGGACTGCATATGAGTCGACTAGTTGCAACTGCAAGTCCTTCAATCTCCGTACCCCTACCCATTAAACCGTTTTGAGGCGTTTAGACAAGGGTCGACAATTTTTGAGACCAAAAAAAATTAAAGTAGGATGAAACCCATTGGAAAAGGTAGAGAATATAACAAAAATAAAAGAAAAAATAAATACCGGGCGATCTAAGGCCGGGAAGGGGGAGGGGGTGAGTTATTAAGGGTAAAAAACGGTTAATCTCGATTTCCGGTAAAACTGCAAGTCCTATGACAAAAAATTAAATGGTAAAGTTGTAGGTAATAAAAAGATCTACAACTTTTGTATCGACACTTTTTTCGCATAACCTCAAATACCTTATAGGATCACTTTGTTGACCGTCCGTCCGTCTGTCAAGACCGTTACTCTCAGGAACGCGTGGAGGTATCAAACTGAAATTCATATCTAATACTCATGTCTACTGTCCCTTGGAGCTGTTAAAAAATCAAACTTCTAAGCCAAAAAAGCTATATTATTATATGATGTAACTAAAAATAAGAGATATTAAATTAAGTTTGTACGGAACCCTCGGTGCGCGAATCCGACTCGCACTTGGCCGGTTTTTTTATAGATCTTTCGAATTATACTTATTACATTGTTGGCGGAACTGGGTGTTTTTTGCCCATTGTCCTTTTAATAACATTCCTTTTTAATATGATTTATCAGCTTAGACATGATCCACATTATTCTAAAATATGGACTAAAGTTATTCTTGGTTTAAACTTAATACTGTCTCTGTCTTATTTTTAGCAAACAAAGGTAACAGCATAATTTTTAGACCAGGTTTAACTTTAGTTTACGTTTTGTAATAAGGCAGCAAGAGTATTTCTCTAAGACAACATAGAACACTCAACATCAGCATTCGAGGTAGTATCTTACAAATATAGAATAGAATAGAATTTTATTAACCCTCATATAACAGATATTACACATTACAGATACAAATAAAAAAAAGCTCATTCTATCCAGGACCCTGCCTCAGCATTAGCTGATGCGATATTGTGTCGCACCAGCGCTGTTATTCTGGCAGGGCCTGTTTAGTGACACAAAAAAAAGACATGTAAAAATATGTGATTTTCACAAAATAAAAAGACGTAAAATTATGTGATTTCTCATAAAATTTATATATGCACCTCAAACAAATCCACTTGGCCAACACTAAGTCCTGTAGTGTCCAGAAGTTTCCTCACAGCCAGCACTGCTCCGAGGCCACTCTGCTGAGGATCAGTTCCTACGCATGCCCATGCGGCTACCCTCGCTAGTGGATTCAAATGGTTCTGGATAACTGTGCTCTCGGCAGCGATGAGAATCGCTGCTGCGCCATCCGCTGGTGTCTGGAGCAATCGGATAAAGGCTAGATGAGTACTTTACTTAGTAACTGTCAATAATCAATTTCCAGTAAAAGGTAGGCTTATTATTCAGGTTTCGTTCAGCCAACAATTGTTTTGATTTTCCGAATAGCATATACTTATGATTGAAACTGACCATAAGTCGTTTAATGGAAGTGAAGATTCAAGACGAATTATATGCGTAGGTCAATGGCAAGATGGTTTTTCGTGACTGCTTTAAAGACCATGATAGAGAAATACGCATGTTGAGATTGAAAATAAGGAACTGTGAGAATATGAAAAATGTTTAACTACTAGGCTAGGATATCCACATTGTAGGAAATGGAGTACATGCACTAGTATAACAATTCGCAGAAAGATGTCGGCTCTACAGAAGAACATTAATCCGTAATGAATACTCAGTTTTGGTGTTATCAAGGAATAAACACTTGCAGATAACTGCAAGTTATCAAGCCCTCACCACTTACCGATGAATTTCCAGCAGTGACAATCGACGCTCCTTCTACTATAGTTGGTTGATCAGCCAGGTAGTCCACACTTATCTCTGGTTGGGGTAGGTCGTCTTTACTGGCGACGAATTGTTTCTTTTTAACCGTCAAATTTAATTTCGTTACCTCATCATCAAACATATTCGATTCTTGAGCTGGAAACGATAATTTGTTTATATCAGTACAAGCTGCGAACAAGCACTTGAGATAGATAATTAATCAATACTGCCATTCACCTGCCTTCCATTTCAAATGACTTTGCGCAGCATATTCATCGACGGTCTTTCTAGATACTCCATATTTTAAAGCTAAATCTTCTGCCATCCTCGCTAAGGTCAACCCGGTGTAACTATCCAGGAACTCCTTCTGTATGTAATCCTCAAGGAGGTAGCTCTTGCCTAAAGCTGTGCCGAATCTCGCTTGCCTCACCAAGAATGGAAGAGCCGACATGACTTCGGTGCCACCTGTTAGTGATACTTTTCCAACTCCCGTTAAAATATCCTGTACATATTTATATATTTACAATTAGCGTACCATATCCTATTAAACATCAATTTTAAGAATATTTTTTCATTTGTAAGTAATCTTAGTAGGTAATTGAAAAGCATCAACAATATATGACAGGGTACGAGATCTATAACTATCGAGGTTTCATAACCAATGTTTTTATATAATAAAAGAGTACCCAGAAGAGTGGGTAGAAGTTCTGTAGGTAGGTGTATTTCTCGATTTTTACAGAAGAATTAGAATTTAAAAACTTATTTTAATCAAAAATAATCCAACCAGCAGCATTTAATAGCCCCGTTACACTATGCTCCTCGCGCTTCTGCAAGAGTTGCCGTCTCTGCCCACTCACTGCTCTACTCGCGCAATAGGGTATATTTTGACAAGTTTTAGAAAACAAACAAAACAAACACAAACAAACAAAATCGTTTATTCAGTACAGAACACGGATACAGATAAAATTGTTATAGGTAGTTAAATCTTACAGTGACTGAGGCCACTCCGTATCCACGGCTGCGCTGAAAAGGGCCCAGTTCAGCATAATGTCAGTGCAGTATGCACTGGCGCTGGTTTTCAACTGGGTCCTTTATCTGACAAGTGGATGCCAAACACTAACGATTTTTATATGCGTATAATTATAATTATTATTTAAAACAAAAAATAAAAAGGGGCATATATCTAAATATAAGATAATAAGTTATGGTACATACCTATAAAATATATATAAATATGATAAATATTTGTTTTCTATGATTGTACATATTTTGTGAAGTTTAGGTGTAGGCTTTGTGTTTAGTATATATATTTATTGCCTTTCAGGTCCTGATCTGTTATTGAAGTAATTACTCTGGGCCTACATCACCAACTAAGCAGCAAGAATAGCGCCAAATATAGATGTTGCACTAACACGGGGTCACCAGCAAGCTGTGTTCTGTTTTTATTTTTGTCTATTTTATTATTATTTGATTATTTAAATTGTAAATTAATGTTTTTATTTTTATAATATACCAACACATTATTTATTTATTATATTAGCAATCAATTAAGTTCACATAGTTATATGTATGACATATCCATATTTATATATCCCAATTGTTGCTGTGCATTTGTGAGATATTGACGGAGATGTTTCTTGAATATATAAATAGAGGCACTTTCTCTTAAAGGAGGTGGGATATTGTTCCATATCTTTGCTGCTGCATATCGAAAACTACCCCTGCAAGATGCTGACCCATGAGTCCGTGTAGCAAGCTGCTGAGAGCACTGCCTTCTGCAACTTAGCCAAACAAGGCGATTATATAGATATGCAGGCTCCCTGGACCTAATTAATCCGTAAAGTAGGCATGCCAGATGAAGTTTACGTCTTGATTTCATTTTAAGGATTGCATGTTGATTTAGAAATGGGGTGACATGACATCGGGGGGGTATATTGAAGCAAAAGCGCGCGCATGCATTCTGCACTCTCTGTATAAGCTTGCTTGTCCGAGCGAGCAGACGTGGCCCATATACGATATCGGCGTAGTTAAGTTTGGACAGCACAAGCGATTCAGTAAGGCGGAGCCTCAGATCTTCGGATATAAATGGTCGGATTTTATATAAAACCTTAAGCCGATAGAAACAGTTTTGAACCGCGTCAGATATATGTTTTTCGAATCTCAGTTTCTCATCGATATGGAGACCGAGGTTGCGCACAGTATCAACCCTTTCTATCGGTTCACCCAGTAACGTAATATTTAAATTATCTGGCAATTGACTTTTCATTTTTTTTGTGCCATATAACATATAAACGATCTCACGTTATTGACTAATGTTTATGGAGTCCGTAAAAAGTGGATATACATCATTCTGTTGTGTATTTCAGTAAAAATAACCAAATCAAAAACTCCATTTTCATTTTGCCGCTAAAACGTTTCTCTAGACAATATGGCGTCTCACTGGTGTGTGACGTCACACGAATGTTATTTAAACGTCAAACGATACAATGTAATGTCACTTTAACCGGAAGTTTACTTGCGTGTGACGTCATTTTAGGCTCCGTCAATCCCAAGCGTTTTGGGTCACGTGACAATAGATAAGAAAACTATTATCTTTTTCGTGGGTTTTTAGTAAAAATATGTATATTTTTTCTGTAAAAATAGTGCAAATCCCAGCCAATATTTATTCTAAACACAGATGCCAACGATTAGCACTTTATTTTTAATACTGTCAGAAACCCTATTAATCGCCAAGCTCCGCACTTATTGCCTTTGCTATACGATATAACTTTAGCAACGTGCGCGCTATGCATTTTTAGTATAGCCAATTATGTCAATGTCATACAACGAAAAACCCGACAAGATAGGAAGCAGTGGGCAGGACGAGTGATGTTGCTACACTACGTCCCTGACGGTCCCTGCCTCCTTTTCTCGTTACTTCCCACATTACTGGCCGAGTGTATGGTAGGGATATGAGATTCAAGATTCGATTCGATTCGAACTCATAACAGTATTTGGACTCCGTTTACCGCAGACCCAGTGCTCATTCGTCCGTAGTCTAAACAATAAGTACTTCAGCTTACCAGCGCTCCAGTAATAACAGCTTGTAATCCTGATCCGCAGGCTTTGTTCACCCCTAAAGCAGGGCGATCTATTGGCACTCCGGAATAACTGCCGCAATAACGTGGTGTCTTTCCACCGTCACATTGACTCAACTGGAATGGAAAATTAACGAGCAGATGACATATGTACTATTGCGGAATTTTACGCTCTGTCACTTGGCTTTGAACGGTTTGAACGGTTTTCTACAGTAGTTTTTACTACGCCCCGCCTTCGCGTCGGACGCGCCAATCCGGGCCGCCGCACAAAAGTAAGACAGAGAGCATTTCATTGATTGAATAATGAATTGAATTGCATTTGTTTTAGTTGCGATTTGTCATCCGCATCGTGATCGCGACAGCGCTATACGAAAAAGTAAGACAGCGATAATTACATGTCTATGAATGAATTTTTACTACGCCGCTACCGCAAGCGATTATGGCATTATGAGTGACAGAGCCCGCTCACCCATAATCGCTTGCGCGGGTGTACCTACTTGAACGTATAATTATTGACTGGGAATGAAAGAACAGCTGAGAATAAAACATGGAATGCGTCAACTGTAAAAATTCTAACCCCACATAACATGAAAAGAGAATTGCAACTATTTCAAAAGCTGAAAACTAGGTAGATATATGTTTATTTCATACCTGCCCCACCCTGGAAACCCTGGCTTCATCGGATACGATGGATGTATTGTTAGTGGTATTGCTATTGCGACTTGTCGCAAAACAATGTGTATATTATAAAGTTTTAATTTCCTTCATAATTCTAATACGTTATCTTTAAAGTCATCAGAAAATCTTGCTCTTATGACTCCCGTCCACTGCACAACTTTTTTCCACCGTTCGTTTGCAGTGCAAGCCGTTCATCTATGGAATTCTCTTCCGGTTTCGATAAGACGTGCGGAAACTATTGAAGCGTTTAAAAACCTTGTGAAGTCCCACTATCTGACATTGTAATACTTTTGTTTTCAATATCTCATGTTCTAAAAACTGGACTGGATCAATGTATGTATTTATACTTATTGTATCTATGTATGTATGTTTAAATATCTTATATATATGTGTATGATGTATGTATGTATTTACTAATAGATTATATTATACTAGCGATTTACACCGCCCGCCGTCTGTCCCACTTCCTTCTAATCGTCTCCATCTAAAGGTTGCCTGGAAGAGATCGCTTTAAGCGATAAGGCCGCCTATTGCATCACCTGTATTAAATGTTTTTGCGCTTAATGTCCAATGTTTTTCGTGGTGTTTAATAAAGAGTATTTGTATTGTTTTGCGCCTAGTCGCAATAGCAACTACTCAAGTTAGTTATTCTCCCGGTTTTCTAAATTGGTCCTTCGAGCAGATTAGTTATTGATAAGTTAATAATCATACTTACGTAATGCACGTTTCCCACAATGGTGTGATCGATAAGACTGGGGTCCAGTTTTGCTGTTTCGATAGCGTCTTTTGCAGTTGCTGCGAACACATGGCTAGCTGGTGTGTCTCGTAATACACCGCCGAATTTACAGAAAGGGCTCCTTTTGGCCCCAACCACGAATATTCCTGGGAAACAGGAGAGATTAATAAGAAATTGTGGAAGTTCTGATTGCGGTAGGTTAATTAGCATGGCACGGAGAGTTAAGCAATGAAACATGAATGCTAATATATGCCGTCTCTTTTAAAAACACTTTCCTACATTTCCGTATCAAGGTTATCCTTACCTATCTTAGTAGTACGGCGACAAACAAAGTACGTGGCTTAAACTGATACGATTTAATTATATTTCTGCCTTTTAACGGTCGAACTCGAGAGTTTTATCAAAAATTAATTAATGAAATGATACAGTAGGAAATAATCATTTAATAGTGTTAATGAAAATATATATCTACTAACTCTAACACACAGTGTTGCCAACTCTACGTCTTTTTACGTAGATCTACGTATTTTAGGCCTTTTCTGCAAACCTACTAACTTCAGTCCCAGAATCTACGTATTTTCTTTTAATTTGTACAAATTTGAAAAATAACATAATTCACTAGAATGAAGAAGCATATTTTCTGTTACTTACTGAAAAACCATACAAAAGTATATCTTATAATTTTTGGTATAAGGAACCTAAATACACACATCAAAAGTGTCTAGGGATCAAGCATTTTTATGCGGATTTCTTGAGATTGAGATGTGGCTTTGTAATAAATTTATGATTTTATAAATTTATATGGATCCTTTTTGGTGCATTTCATAATTTGAATCAGGAACTGTGAATCAAATTCGAGTAAAAGATGAAAATCAGCTGTCAATATTTTCCCTATAAAAACATACAACGCATTGAAGACATTATTAGTGCTACTGTTTCCCTACTACTGATTAAAACCAACGTTATTATGGAGCGGCGACGTCATTTAAGCAGGGAAGAAATGCTCAGAGCCGTGGGAATGATAGAAGCTGGTTCCCGGCAACGTACTGTGGCTTTAGCTCTGAATACAAGTCAGAGTGTTATCAGTCGACTTTGGACACGATACCGAAGCACTGGTACCGTGGCTGAGCGCCATGGAGGACGGTATCGCTGCACCACACGGAGACAAGACCGATACATTCAAATCTTAACTCGAAGAGCTCCAACAATAACCGCCATGATGTTAGCCGTGAGGCTTCATCACTCTTCAGGGAACTTAATTAGCGACCAAACAGTCAGAAAACGCTTGCATGAAGTGAACCTTCATTCCCGAAGACCGCTACGGGTACCACCTATAGCAATGCACAATCGTAGGATTCGATATCAATGGGCTCTTGAACACAGAAATTGGGCAGAAGAACAATGGCGTTTCGTGTGCTTTTCTGATGAGTCTCGTTTTGGTATGAGACCGGATACAAGACGTATACGACACTGGAGAACCCCTGGACGCCAACAGCGATTAAAATCCTGCCAGGAAGTCCATCCTTATAGTGGTGGAACCATCATGGTATGGGCGGGTATTTGGATCGGCGGAAGAACTGAGTTGATTTGGATCAGAGGCAACCTCAACGCTCAAATTTATGCTGAGACGATTGTATCAGACGTCATCGTTCCTCTACAAGTGCAAATCGGTCCCTTATTTCAGTTAATGCATGATAATGCACGACCGCACACCGCAAGAGTTGTAAGACAGACTCTCGCCGCAGCTAACATCAATGTCCTGCCCTGGCCTGCTCAGTCGCCAGACTTGAACCCGATTGAGCATGCATGGGATATGCTACAGAGAAGAGCTCTGCCGAATATGGAGGGTATCCAGTCGCAAGAAGACCTTTTTTTGTTGTTGCAACGAACATGGGCGGCCATTCCACAGCGTGATTTGGATGAACTCATTTTGAGTATGCCAAACCGATGTTCTTGTGTTGTTAGTGTTCGCGGTAGAAATACGGATTATTAATTGTTTAAGTTACCCAATAAAATTTTAGAGAAAACTGTTATTTCAGTCTTTTTTTCGAACTTTTGTGTTAGTGGTTCAAATGTCAAAAATCCCTTTATTAGGAAAATGGCAAATTTCTTTATTAATGCAAAGGTGACTTGGTTTATCGTTACTGTGACAAACGAAAACACTTTATTTGATGAATCCTTAAAGAAAATTTTAATTAATATCAATCAGGAGAAAAGTTATTGCAAAAATATATGTTGATCCCTAGACACTTTTGATGTGTGTATATCGATTTCACTGCATAAAATTAGAAGATAGCTGTAGTAATTTAATTTGAACATTTGTTTTTGAAGTTATACTTCTTTAGGCGCGTTATGAAAAAATGATGAGAGTGAAATTTTAAGATGCGCGCGCATCACTGTAACACAAAATTTTGGTCGCTTTAGCGACCAACTTCATGCGTTACTTTTGTGTTTACCGCAGCACATTAAGAAAATCTTCCAACAAAATAGAAATAGAATCTCTATTTAGTGGGTGCTAACGACTGCATTGTGAAGGCCTATCAAAAGTATTTATTAATCTGGAACAACGGAACCAAAGCGCGATTCAGGAGACTACAGCTCCATCTCTTGACCATTGGTGTAGTAGAACCAAAAACCACATCTTTATTTTTTGTAATAAAGTAACAGTTATAGGTATAACATATTTATAATATTTATCCACATGTTTCTAGTTTGTATATTCGGAATACGTGTTTGAGTTTCATACAAGTGCAAATCACATATGTTCTAATAAATTATATTCAGTAGCGATTTTAATTGAATATTTTGATTATTTATTTATTTTTTCAAATTAAAACAGAACTTTATTGACTGTGTCCTTTTCCAGACTTTTTATTAATTTATTGTAATTAATTATTTGCATGCAATTAAAAACTAATTTTAAACGATGTCAAAGAAGGATAACTTCTCACACGCCTACATAAGTACACGCACCCATTTTTTTTAGTCTATACTTTTTAAACACTTAAAACGCTGTCCACCATGATTGTGACGTCACAAAATTTGTAAACAACTAAACGTCATTGTCTTGTTACTGTGGTTTCTTTCGTTGGACTAAAATATGTATATCTAAAAGCTCTTATATCTTGTAAAAAGTTTCCGTTTATTGGTTTTGTTGACTAAATTAATGCTGGACGCCGGATATGTGAAAGCAGAAATGACATAACTCTTTGACTTATGTACATTAATAACCCTAAAAATTGTATTTTTAAACTTTAAATATTTCAATGAGTACTTACAACGAAGTGATCTTTGCAAAAAGAAATGACTTTCAGTCGATAAAGTTATAGGATTTAGCAAGTTTTAGACATGTGTTCATGTGTAGGTGGTTCTCTAGGCAATTTAAACCACAACTTTTCTGGATTCTTTAACGATGTGTTTCTACATTCTCGTATAATACCATCATGATTATTACTATAATATTTTTCATGTTATCTATTAGAAATCATGGTTTTATAATATAAATTCAGATAGTTTGTTTCCTACGTAATTGCGAGTATTTGTTTACAAATGTTTTGACGTCTTAGCATACATAAAGCTAAAGACTAAAATGGCCAACAGCTTTTTCTATGTCCATGAAAAATCTATTTTAAAATGAAAGTTTTGTGGCTTACAAAAAAAAATACAATACATTTTTAGTCGGAGTAATAGAACAATTATTAACTATTTAAAACATATTTCCAAAAAGTGTCAACTATCCTATTTGACAACAGTGTATCCTTGTCATTTTCTATACAGAACGAAAAGCAGAGGCTGATGTTAAAGGAGATTGCTCAGCTTCCATACATGTTTGGCCTAAAGACCAATAATCATGAAAAATTGTTTCCTAGCTTCGAAATAATATATAAATTACTGTAGAAACGAATATTATTGACGGACACCCCTGAGAACTTCTATAAACCATATACACTGAACATATTAAAATAATAAAAAACAAATAAGTTATAAGTATAGTAAACTAGGGAAATCAAGCCAAATACCGAAATTATGGATTAGATTCAGGTTTAAAGAGCATGCAGATTAACAGATAGTTGCCTGTTTTTAAAGTTAATGCATATGAGCAACTTTTAAAATCAGGTGTCATCTATGCATTTCCGGTTATAATAGGGTATTCTGTGACAGAAACTGTGTGATGATTGTGAATGAGCCACAGATTAGAGAGAATTTTTAAACTCTCGTTAACCAAAGAAAGCTAAGAGATTTAGGTTATATAGCCATTTATTCAGTAGCTTCATTATTTTTGTTATGTTTTTAATATAACCATATTTAAGATTTTAAGTGTATCACACCTTATAATTTTATTTATTTATTAATTTATAGTCAGGCAACGTAGGCCCATAGATAGATACCTTAAAGTCTAACATATATACAGATTATAATTTGTTTATGGAGGTGCCTACCATCGCCTACCATCTATAATAATTGTCTGAGCACATTTGCATGTAGTGAAAATGATTATATAGTTGTGGATATTAATACCACATTGTCATAAAAAATAATTTATTTTATCGATCTTTACAAAATAGATTTGTTTTTATATTATATAAACAACTTCGATCAGTCTTTGGCTGAATGTTACTACACCCATAGTCATTAAAAATGATTCGTATGTTTAAAAACCAGTAAAATTAAAAGTCCTTTTTAAAGTAAATATATTATATAAAGGTGTCCGTTGAAATGTAATGACTGTAAATTAAATTATAAATTACGCTAAGAATTACCGTGTATGTCAATATTTTTTGTGCATTTAGGCCAATTTGAGCAATCTCCTTTAGTTTTAAGTTTAGAGAATCACGCCTGAATCGACACCCACCAGTGTCTATCTGATGCTAAATGTCTACCACAGCATAGTAAATGCTGCCAATGCAGTGTCTTCTCTAAAAATTCTATGTTATATCTCCCTTTTTTAAATAAACTGTACAACAAAATACTCGTTTTATTCGGTTTCACCTATCCTAACTTCTTTCTTTTCACTCAGAAAAAAATACGTAGATCTACAAACTTTTCATATGCAAATTTTACTAATTCTACGTAGTTTTCTCATCGGGCCTACGCCTTTTTCAAAATTCGAGTTGGCAACACTGCTAACACACTAGTCATTTAACAA